TCCTTTCCCGCCTTCTCACCACCTGCCCCTGCAGGGAGCGGCACGTGCTCTGCAGGGGGCTGGAGTCTGGCCCAGGGGTGTCGCCTACACCCGAGAGGGGTGGCCTTGGTGCCCGCCCGCCCTGTTCCGCAGGCTCCGCCTCGGACCCAGAGCCACAGGCCGCTGCCCGCTGCCCGCGCCCGCTGCTGCCGGGGCGCAGGGACAGAACCGAGGGCTGCTCGAGGGCTGCGGTGCGCAGGCGCGAGGCAGAAAAGGGGGGAGGGGCGTGCAAGGGGCGGAGCCAGGGGAGGGAGCGACCCGAGACCTGTGGGGGGATGGATGGGGCAGAGAAATAGAGGGGAGGCGGAGGTGCTGAGACCTGGGGTGACGAATGGGTGAGGATGGAAGTGGAGGGGGACCTGCAGGGGTGCTGAGAGACCCTGGGCGGCATGGATGAGGATGGAAGTGGAGGCGGACCTGCAGGGGGCGCTGGGAGACCCGGGGCAGGATGGANCTGAGAGACCTGGTGGGGGGTGGATGAGGATGGAAGTGGAGGGGGACCTGCAGGGGGCGCTGAGAGACCTGGTGGGGGGTGGATGAGGATGGAAGTGGAGGGGGACCTGCAGGGGGCGCTGAGAGACCTGGTGGGGGGTGGATGAGGATGGAAGTGGAGGGGGACCTGCAGGGGGCGCTGAGAGACCTGGTGGGGGGTGGATGAGGATGGAAGTGGAGGGGGACCTGCAGGGGGCGCTGAGAGACCTGGTGGGGGGTGGATGAGGATGGAAGTGGAGGGGGACCTGCAGGGGGCGCTGAGAGACCTGGTGGGGGGTGGATGAGGATGGAAGTGGAGGGGGACCTGCAGGGGGCGCTGAGAGACCTGGTGGGGGGTGGATGAGGATGGAAGTGGAGGGGGACCTGCAGGGGGCGCTGAGAGACCTGGTGGGGGGTGGATGAGGATGGAAGTGGAGGGGGACCTGCAGGGGGCGCTGAGAGACCTGGTGGGGGGTGGATGAGGATGGAAGTGGAGGGGGACCTGCAGGGGGCGCTGAGAGACCTGGTGGGGGGTGGATGAGGATGGAAGTGGAGGGGGACCTGCAGGGGGCACTTACGGTGACTTGGTGAAGGGACAGTGGACAAGGTGGGGGAGTGAAGAGGAGGGAGCACAGCAAGGGGTTTGGAATCCACAGCAGGGCGGATGCACAGGGCGGTGGATGCACAGGGCAGATGGATGGGCGGGTGGATGCACAGGGCGGTGGGTGCACAGGGCGGTGGATGCACANGAGCACAGCAAGGGGTTTGGAATCCACAGCAGGGCGGATGCACAGGGCGGTGGATGCACAGGGCAGATGGATGGGCGGGCGGATGCACAGGGCGGTGGATGCACAGGGCGGATGGATGGGCGGGCGGGTGCACAGGGCGATGGGTGCACAGGGCAGGCGGATGGATGGGCAGTGGAAGCGGGAGGCGGGAACCTGTAGGAAGCTCCAGAGACCTGAGCGGGAGCTAGGTGGGCGGAGAGTCCGGGGAGGAGACAGGAGGGAGCCTAAAATATGGAGGCGCGGGTTGGAAGTCAACGGACTAACAGCAGCTGGGAGTAGGAAGTGCGCAGTGGAGGAGATGGGGGTCAGCAAGGAGCAGGAAGGTGGGTGGGGATGTTCGGCCAAAAGGGCAGAAAAGGGGTGGGGGAGATGGAAGCGGAGAGGGGGGGATGCTTGAAGCCTTCCCCAGATCTTTAGACTTTAAAAAATCTTTCCAAAATGTCTCCTCCCAGGCGGAGGGAGGGTGAGGGAAAATGAAACGATGGCGAACCGGGAAGAGTCCGGTACCGGAGACACTTAAAGGCCGAAGGGCCGCGGCGCCGCGAGGCCCCCTCGTGCGCCCCTCGGGCGGGTGGCCGCGGTTGCCGTCCTGCGGTGTGAATTTCCCCAGCGCGTTCTTTTTAATGGAGATTAATAATTCCCGTGGTCTCCAGAAGACGTTGGCTCATTTCTCCAACCAGCTACCAAATGCATTTGGAGCCAGTGAAGGATTAAAGCCATTTGCAGTGCACTGCTATTTCTAAAACTATTTAAAAATTTTTTTCAATTACCGTGACATTCACTATTACTTTATATTAGTTTCAGGAGCACAGCATAGCTGCATTGCTATATATGTATTTTTAAAATATGTTTTTATTGATTTTAGAGAGAGTTCCGGGAAGGGAGAGGGATAGAGAGAGAAAAACGTCCTGAGAGAGAAGATGCGCTGCCTCCCGCACGCCCCCTGCTGGGGACAAGCAGCCGGACACGTGCCCCGAGGGGTAGAACTGGCGACCTCTTGGTTCATGGGTCGTCGCTCAACCACTGAGCCACCCCGGCCGGGCTGCACTGGTCTAGTTTTAAGGCACAGTTTACAACATTCCAGGAAACAATTCTATTTTGTTTTCATTTTTAACTTTTTTTCAAAACTTTTAATATATCTTTAATGGAATTTTCTTGTTTGCTGATTGTGTGAGTGAAGGTATTTGGATGCTAGAGGCCGGGAGGAAGAAGAGTCTTGAGGAAGCAGCTGGGGTGGGCCTCAGGCAGGAATGGCTTGCTCCTGGCCTGCCTTGGCTTGAGCATATCAGCAAATAACTTCTCTCATCCATATCGGAGAACTCTCTCTGCCTGCAAAGGGCTTTCTGTAGGTCTGTCCAGCCATTCTCCACAGCTCCTTCTTGTGGCTGGTCGAATTTTATTTCACCTTCTTGTGCATAGTATGTACTCAAATATATTTTTTCATTTTCGATAGTACAAAGGATGGAACTAAATTCACTTTCAAAAGGAACTCATGTACCAGCAGTAATGTGCTTGTTAGTTGGCGCCTTGGCTCGCTGGCTTTGACACCGTCTGGGTTTCTATTACAATATGCATGCTATATGGAGAAGATAAATATTTGGAGGTCATGGGAAAATAGTGTGCTGTGATAACTTCTTTTATATCATTTAAATGAGTTTCTCCGCCTGAACAGTCACCACTAACAGTACCTTCTTGCTCTAACACACAGGCACCTAGAAAGTTTGGCCACTATTTACATAATAAATTTGTATTTAGAAATTTCAGCTACTGATTAAAAACACATTTTTTAAAGGCGGTATAAGGCCAGTGGAAGGAGGGGCATGGGAAGGGTAAATTGGGGTAGACTTGGAGGGAATACGTAGGGGCTTAGAGTGGAGAAGGGGAGATAGGGGAAAGGAGGGGCAAGAGGGAGCAGAGGGCCTTGAAGGGGAGAGACGGTGACAGGGATGAAGGCACTAGAGGGAGTGGCAGGGAAGACAGGCCTGCAGTTTACTGAACTTTGCTCCTCTAGTGGGAAGTTGCACCGAAGATTACATTTGTTTTCTTTGCTCTTATTAGACATTCCTGGGAGTCACTGAGGGGAGGCAACCTGGGACCCACTGGGGAGCCTGCCACTGAAGGGCGTGCCACTTTGGAGCTACTGAAGAGACCCTCTTTCAGAAGGTGGTTGTGCAGGAACAGAACTAGGAGGGGGCAGTATTATCATCGCCTCTTCATAGGGAAAGAAATAGAAAGATTAAGAAACTCGCTCAAGTGGTGGGATCTAGGACTCAGAACACCCCTATCCTAAACACTGCATAATTTGCTATTTATTATGGCTTTTTAATTGACACCTGGGACCACAAACTGTCTATGAGAAGGACGGTCAAAGGCCTGGGGTGGAAGGGCCTAGCCCCTCTCCGAGGAACAGCTGGAGGGTGGAGTGCACTGCCCGTGGCCGTTCTGTTCTCCTGCCTCCCCAGCCCGCAGGGAGGGTGAACTTGACTTCTACATCCTAGAGTCTTACAGAAATGAATGTCGTGGTGGATTTCCCTTGTCGCTCCGCAGTGACGCTTACCTGAAGGACACCTCTGTCCTCTTCATTTTAAGAGACCTTTCTGGAACTTTTTAGTTATTCAACAGTTGTTCGTGCATACAGTAGGTATTCACAATGAACTCACATATCTTCATTGTTGGGATAGGGCCATTCTGAAGGTAATCTGGCTCACAGAATTTCCAGCTTTGACACTGATGTGTATTTCCAGATGGACTCGGGCCTGCTTTAAAGTAAGGAGAAGTTAAGCCGTAATAGGCCAGGAGGTAGCCCTGGACTAGCTAAGATGCGTTAGTGCTGCCTGACTGTGTGTTACTACAATCAGCTCAGTTCTAAGGAAAAAGAGCCCGAAAGTGATTTCCTAATTTGTTGAATATTACAGTTGGAGAGTAGATGCCAAGTGTTTCTTCTGTGTGGTTG